ATGGCGGAGGTACCTGTACTGAATGGCTGTGTTGGGTGGGCACACCTTGCTATCACCAAGAGAGAGGAGGGCCAGCTCCATGCGCCAGCCCTGAGGCTGGGCACGTTTTGCCAGAGCTGGATGTGAGCATCACCCTGGAAGTGGGATAGTGCCTGGGAATGGGAATGGGAAGAAGATTAAGAGGCATCTCTCTGCTTTTTGGGTACCAGCTGCGGAGGGAAATAGTGCTTAGTTTAAATTGCAGACTTCCACCTGAGAATTCCAGAACTCTTCTGATTTACTCATGACCAACATTGCATCTTTTTGTCAATGTGTCAATGTCCTCTACTTACCTAAATAGCTGTTCTCCCTCCCCACTGCTTACCTCCCTGATATGTTTATAGAGAGCAATTGAATTCCCTCTCAACCTTTGTTTTGCCAGGCAAACAAGCTAAGCTGGAATAATTATCCAAGCTCAATAATTATCCCCGTCAGATACTTGGGAAGTGTGAGGCAGGGAGAGCCTCTACCTGCTTACACCATGCACTTGTGGCAAAGCCAAATGGAGGCACTGACTTCCATGGCTGCTATTCCAGAGCTCTGTCTACTTGCCAGGCAACCACCAGTAATTTTAGAGGGCATAAACATCAAGTAACTGCAGAGGACTTACTTGTATGTACTTACTTGCTCTATCTGACAGTCGTTGGAAGTAGAGGTCTGGGCTGCAAATGCAGCACAGCCCATAAAGCTGTGCGTGCAACACAAGGTGGCATTCTTGGTACAGAAGTTTTAACGGAGAGAGTTTGGCTGGCTTGGATTACTTATGGTTAATGAAGAAAAGTATGAAAACAAAATAAGTCATGACACCGGTCCTTCTACGAGATGCTTTTTTCTTATCTGCCACAGCAGAAAGCTTTGCATTTAAAGCCTATTTGTGCTGCTGCTGTGCCCCTTGCCCATGATTGATAAAGACAACTGTTGCATCCTTGTTTCGAAACACAGGAATAATCCAGTTAATTCTATGGGACTATTCACTTCCTTAAGTTACAGGAGGTATTTGCCATTCCTTGCAGAACCGGCTTCTCAATTGCTTTAAGTTCACTGAGAGTGAAGAGGACTGATTTCTGTGGGGATATCGGGTCATGTTTAGGAAACCTGTGCTCTCACTTGGCCTGTCTTTTGCGCACACACAAAGACGTGCCGGTCCCTTTCACAGAACAGGGCTGTCATCGATATCAGGTTAATGTGCACTTTCGAATGGACTTGAACAGGAGCCTTGCTGAAATGCTGTTTGACACAGGAGTCGGCCAACCATAGAAAATAATTTTCATGCTTTGACATCCAGTAGCTGCTCGAACAGGGCAGTTGCAAATCACAGCTAAGTACGTGAAAGAATGGTTCTGTTCCTTTTTAAATTAAAAGCTGAAAGATAAACTAGAAAGCTGACAAAGCTGATTGTGCCTACAGCTAAAAAGTGCTCATGCTTGTGTGAGAGCAGTATGGTCTTTGGTAGTTTTTGTGAAATCCTTTTAATTCTATAAGAGAAGCCATTCCATATAAATCGTCAACTCTCCTGGCAATCTCTTCATCACACGTACTATTTAGTCGTACAGAAAACAGGATGTAGAAACAAATCTCTCTATTCTGCAAAGAGAAAAAAACCTCCCAGAGTTGGGAAATTTGAGGCAGGAGAAAAAGGGGAGTATAAAATGTGATAGAACTGTGGTGAACCCTGAAAGATTCATCATTTTCTGTGTGAGTTTATGGTGGTTTTTTTCCCCTCTCTCCCCTCAGGTGCTTTTCTAATCCCATACACCCTGATGTTGGCATTAGCTGGCTTGCCTCTATTTTTCATGGAGTGTTCCCTTGGGCAGTTTGCCAGCCTAGGGCCAGTTTCCATCTGGAGAATATTACCATTGTTTCAAGGTTAGTATTGTTATGTTTTCTTGGATCTTTTTAATTTTAGCAATAAACAGATGTGAAATAATTATTTCTGCACCAAGTTACTAATTCTGAGAAGCTGATTTCCATGTAGAGAATATTCCCAAAGTTACAAGGTCAGTATTATGTTCCCAGGTACGTCTTCCTTATTTTTCAATTAATGAATGGATGTGTATTAAAGATTTCCCCAAAAAAAGCTGTCAGTTATGAGAGGTTTCGTCAATTATTCTCCTGGTGCTACGCAGCACACCACCCTCACTGCAGCTGTCCAGGCAGAAGGAAATAACCAGTTCTGCTATGTGAGGGAAAACCTCTGTTAAACACCTGGCACTGTGTGCAACAGACTGAAACTCATTTTTAGAAGTTAACTTTATTGCTGTGTCTCTACAATTTGTGTGTTTCAACAGGCTGCCCAGGGAAGTGGTGGAGTCACCATCCCTGGAGGTTTTTAAAAAAACATGTAAATGTGGCACTTTGGGACATGGTTTATTGGGCATGGTGGTGTTGGGTTGACAGTTGGACTTGATGACCTTAGAGGTCTCTTCCGACTGTAATGATTCTGTAGCTTGCAAGGCAGTCCCATGTTGGATGGGCTATTTCTGTATTTGGCTGCCAGCATTGGCACAGGCACATGGGTCTGATTGCTTTCTGCAGTGCTGTGCATGTCTTCATCCAACTCACTGCCTTGGGAATCACCTGCTGGTGTGATAAAATAGCCTAGACTCTGGCTTCATAAGGTGAGGTGCCTCTCTCTGATAAGAGAAATAGTGGTAGATTGCCTGTATCTGTGAGGGTTTGATTTTCATAGAGAGACTTACGTGTTTGGAAACAGCTAACTGTGTGCTAACCTTGCTCCTATCCATCCGGGTCCTGTGCTGATGGGTGTAAAGGACGATGCAATTTGTCTTGTTTAGCGTCTTTATCTACCAAAGGAATTAATGTAGGAACAAGGAAGTTTCTGATGCAATAAGAATTTCACTTGCCATCTTCTACAGAAACAGAAGGGATTACAGTCTGGCTGTTTGCCTGAACACTTACTCTTCGCCAGTCTTCACTCTGCAGCACAAACGACCTTTCACGAGAGCAGCGTATTTAAAGCAGAAGTCTCTAGACACAACAAATCTTTCACTTGTCTGTGAAGACAGAAATTTAAATATAGTCACTAATATGATTGAGACACTTTGCCAGACTTTCCAAAACTTGCAGAACAAAGTTCTTTTTAACAAAGGAGAAGAATAGTAGTATTGGCACAGATTTACTGTTCTGTGTTGCTTCTCATTTATTGGCAAAACCATTCATTACAGTGGAACCTTTAAGATGGCTTGGTCAGTCCTGAGGTTTGTATAGTTTGTTTTATTTTACTAAGCAATCAAAGCTTCCCACTGAACTAGAAGAGAGCAAAATATGGAATTTCTCCTTTAGGCCTGGACTTAGTGCCTAGTCCAATTTTTCAATTGACCTGATTCAAACTGTGTCAAAACCACATTTGAGATGGACAGTTTGGACCGTATCTTATTTCATGGCTTTACCCTTTTCCTGTTTGGTTGCTGTTAAAAAATATTTAAAAAACAAACAAGAAACAACCTCAACTTCTTCCCAAGTAGCCCTTTAAAAGTCAAGCAAAGACCACTCATTTATTAATTTTTTTCTTTTCAAACCAAGTTACCAAGTTTGGGGTAGTTAAGACACTGTATCTTTCTCTTTTCTAGGAGTGGGCATCACAATGGTCATCATCTCAACATTTGTGACAATCTACTACAATGTTATCATTGCTTATGCACTCTACTACTTATTTGCCTCATTTCAAAAAGTGCTGCCGTGGTCAGACTGCTTCTCCTGGGCAGATGAGTTCTGCAGCAAAACACGATTAGGTACTGTACTTATCAAATACAGCTTAATATTTCTGTTTTGGATAATTGTACTTTGTACTGTTTTCTGAGAGAAATTACAAGAGGAAGACAGCTACCCATAGCTTGAAAAAGCCTTTCTAGACTTTTGTCTCTGAACACATGGGAGTGATGCTTGTCTGCTTGCCTGCCACCAGTTCTGGGTGCTTGGGTAATCCCCAGAAAGCTAAGCATCCTTGTTGCATCAATTTTATTTCTCCTTTAAAATCTAAGGTTTCTTCTAGTCCATACAGTCCTTGGAAAAGGCTGCATTGCCATTTTATCAGCCTTCATGAGAAAGCAAATACGTTCCTTACCTGAAGTGAGAGTATTGCTGTCATTTTTATAGGGGGTTCTTTCATTGCCCCTTGCCTCCCCTGTGGCTATGGTAATCCTGAGCATCAGAGAAGCACTGGTTTAACACTTGATTAACTCTTTACAACTTATCTCCACGCTATTGTTCTTGATGTTTGGCAGCACATGTACAGTCAAACGCTTGTTATCTCACCAGTTTCCCTATTAGGACAGTTTAAGGCAAAAGGTGAATTTGGAGAGATAATTAGTAGTTAGTTGCTTGAAATGTGTTGCCAAGTGTTAATGTAACTCTCTTAACCATATATCTGAAAAATCTTTTCTAAGATTCATGAGTTTCATAAAATGAACTTGAGATGCTTTATTTAACAAAAGTTGACGCTTGCCTTTGGGCTAAACAAAAATATTTAAACTTGAATTTTGTAAGTGCTGGAAGAATACAAAACTGAACTGAAGAGGATGTCCTGAAATAGGCTTCAACAAGACTTTACCAGTAAATGCTGACATGGAGTTCTTTACTCTGGTAAAAAAATATCCCAACCCAAAAAAACCCAAACACCTCCCCTTCCTCCCCACTCTTCCCTAAGGAAAATGTTTAAAGAGCCCTAGTAAGCCGTCTGCCATAATAAGATGAAGTTGCTAGAGGATGATCTGTGCATAACCTTGGTTTGGGACAAAGGATTTAATAGAGTAACCATAACTTTAACTCTTCTCAGTGCTGATTTTTTTGAGTATTCGTGGTGATGTGTAAGGTGGAGCTGGGCACACCAGGTTCTTGGTGTTTTGATTTACAGTCAAAGTATCAAAGTCACAGCTCCAAGTGGTAGTTCAGGTTTATTTCTAAATAATGTTAGCAGGCAAATTGAAGCCGTAGCTGTTTAGAAAACATATTTGCTATAATAGTCTGATTTTTATAATAATCATCACTGTGTTAACAATTTGTTTTGCTTGCTTGTTTCAGTAAGTGACTGCAATGCAACCTTAGATGGAGAAATCATTCATGCAAACTACTCGTTCATCACAAGCAACAATCTCACATGTATGAATGGCACAGTGAACTACAAACCAGTGCAATTTCCCAGTGAGCAATACTGGAAGTAAGTAAATATTTTAAATACATTTCTAAACATACATTTATTATGTGCTCTGGTTTTGAATGTTTCTTCTTTTTTTTTTTTTTCCCCTCTTGCTGCCCAGAAACAATCTAGTCAACAGAAATGGGCATGCAAATCTGTGCAGAGACTAAAATTTAAATTAATTGATTAAGTAGCTTAAAATTTAATTGGTGAGTCTGGGCCCTTAAAAATAATTTAAAAATAAAAAAAATATAGAGAAGTAAATGAGTTAAATTCAGGTTTTCAATGCCAAGCAAGCAATTCTAACGGCATGCCTGTGGGAAGCTGCTGTCAGGGTCTTGTCATATCTGCAGAAACCAGCTCACTTTCCTTCAAGAAGCATCTGAAGAGGAGGTGTGTGCTGCTGTTGACCTCTCCTCATTGCAGCATCTTGTGCTTTCAGTAAAGTGGCTCTTCAGCGCTCGAGTGGGTTGGACGAGACCGGTAACATCGTGTGGTACCTGGCGCTCTGTCTCCTCCTGTCCTGGATGATTGTTGCAGCTGCGTTGTTTAAAGGAATAAAATCTTCTGGAAAGGTAAGTTGGGACGAGCAAGTAGCAGACTTTTGGCCCAGTTCTGCCCTTCCAATGTCAGTTAGCCTTGGCTAACTAGTCAGCACCAGGCAGGATGCAGTCCTAACCCACTACCTTCTGCTAGGGTCAGCATTAGTCTTTCTTTCTGCTCCTGGGCTTCATAACTGTTACACAAAATACGAGTAAGGTGCTGATTACACAGCAATTACTTAACACACGGGTCTCCAGTGTGGGTTGGCTCCAGCAGGGTTGCTGTGTATCTGGGGATCTTGCTGTCATGCTGGTGATTCCAGCCGAGCTTTGGCAGTCACCCGGCCTGTTATGACAGGCATGTGCATGGGACTGCACATGCATGCACACATCCTGGGAACACCCGGTAATTATTTGCACCTCCAGACTAGTTGAGGTGTTTGTACCATACAGGTCAAGTCCCGCGAACAGATGTGTGTCTGCAGGTTCCTGCCAGATTGTGAAATGTTGTTTGTACTCAAGACTTCCAGCTGCTTTTAGGGACCAGGCCCATAGGTGCTTGTTCTCAGGCTCTGGCTCCACTGAGTTCCCATTTGCATGTGCTGGAGCACAGTGGCCTGGAGTTTTCCTTGGGCTACATCAGCTCCTCTCCTGATATAAGGCAGGCTGAATTTTACTCTTTCCTGCCCGAGGCCCCTTTCCTGGTTTAGTTCCTTCCTCCCCATGCTCCTTTCTTACCTCCATGTTGCATCTCCATCACTCTCTCAGTCTCTCTTGCCTCACTGCCTGTTTTCCTGTCCTCAGTCTGATATCTCCTCCTATTCTGCTTTCTCTTTGGAGCTTTCTGCCCTCCATCTCAGCACTTCAGGGAGGAGTATCTCTGCTTTCCCAGCCACGGTTGTTCTGCTGCCTGGTTCAACTCACATTCTTTGGGCTCCTGGCAATTGGCTCTTCCTGTTGTTACTTCTCTGGCACGAAGGTAAGCCTCTTTGAGGAGGGAGGTAAGACTCAGAAGAATCTAGCTGGGCAGGAACAAGGCAAAGATGAAGAGCAGAGAGAATTGACTATTCCAGGCAAGCATGAAGGAGGTCTTCAGAAATGGCAGACTCACCGTATGATGGTGCAATGTTATGGCTTGGTGTAACCAGCGGTATCGGGTCAATTATCTGTCTGTGTAACACTGAAACTAAGACTCAAGAAACAAAGAGTGTTGTTGAATGTACCATGCGTGATAATAGCACTGCTTAGCCCTGCTTCTGGCCTGGATCCCATCACACTAGAAATGGTGTGGACAAACAACAAAAAAGATCTGTGTCCAAGAGAACCTAAAAGTCCTTGTTTCCAGTAAAGAAAGCTTCCAGCATGGCTTTTTCTCTCCCCCCACCCCCTAGTCTCAGCAGGAGATAATTCCATCCTGGTCACCTAATTTTGACTGGCTTTCAGTTCCCATTTGCTAGAAGCGTTGCTTAGCAAGAGACCTCTGGGGTAGTTGAGTTCAGGCCTTGCTACAGCAGTAAATCATGTTGGAAGATGCATTTCTGAAACTGGTCAAGTGCTACCTGAGAGGTGGATATGTGGCTTGGGCCTTCTGCTTCTGCTGGAATGCAGCTCTGGAACCGGCTAGGCCAGATGGTTTAGCACTTGGTGTGCATTCACTTCCCTGGTTGCCTGATTCATTTGTACCAGCAGACCTTAGCCTAAAACCTGGCCATTTGTCCTCCTGCACAGAGGTCTCTGCATCCCCTCGCTTCTAATGTATATCCTTGCCCTTTCTGCAGGTCGTCTACTTTACTGCGCTCTTCCCCTACGTCATCCTGCTCATCTTGCTGGTGCGAGGTGCCACGCTGGAAGGTGCTCTGGATGGCATCGAATACTACATTGGGAAAGAGTCCAATATCACCAAGCTGATGGAGGCAGAGGTGAGAGGTGGTGTCAGCCCTGAAGTGTGACATTCTTCTGTGGTTCTATGGGCTTGTCACTTACGGAGCAACTTCTTTTTTAGCCAGTCAGGCACTGCTTCATGTCCTGCCCTGCATTTTGTATCTGCAGCTGGGTCCTGATATTTCAGTAACCCCCAGCTCTATTGGGGGTTCTAGCTGAACCTATTGGTGGCCTATTCTAGCTACTCTCAATCTAAAAAATAACCTGGCTCTGCCCCCTCCCTGCCACACCAGACAGGAATGACAACTGTGACATAGCCTCGGAGTAGCTGTCGGGGCCATGCTGGAGTTTCATCTTTGCAAGGCTTGCTGAGAAAGTCCTTGCTGTGGGATCGAGCATTGCTCTCCCATGTGTCCTACTTGCTTTGGCTGCTGATAATTTCAAGAGACTTTATCAGAAGTTTGGAAGGGCCTCTGAGTTTGACATGCAGGCTATGCCTTGCACAGGAAATTACCTTGGGAAAGTAGGTGAACCAGGAAGGACACTCTGCAAAAGAAGCCTAGATTTTTTTTGTTCTGGCTTATGCCAAGATTAGTTCAGTTTTACCAAGAGCAAACATTAAGTGCTATATTTATTTGTGTATTTTATGTGAATATTTGGTGCTAACTGAGGGGCTGCAGCAGAGGCAGAGGTGGTTTGTCTGGGTCACGGTGTGAGCAACACAAGAGAGAACACATGGAAGTTCTCACTTCTGCAATCCAGTCCTGGTTTTCCTTATTTGTTGGCACTTTGACACGATTCCAATCTTGACAGCCTTACACATGTGAATGAATTGAATTTCTTCTTTGGGGTTAGCCAAATAAAATTTAAATATTTGGCAGCATAATCAGGATGTGACCTTTGGAAATCGTAGAATATCATGTTTGTGCTTGAGACTGTAAGGTCACCAGTGTGCTATATCCCACCTACTCTAAAACTTGTATGAAATAGAATTAAATGCTCAGGTTAAATGTAGAAAAACCCTGGAGCCTCAACAAAGGGCAGACTTAAATTTTTATGATACATACTGTAAGCAATTGATACAATATGATACATTCCTTTGCAAGCTACAGGCTTGGGGATGAGTGGCTGGAGCTGCCTGGGGTGTATCAGGAGGGGGGTGGTGAGTAGGTCAAGAGAGGTTCTCCTTCCCCTCTACTCTGCCCTGGTGAGACCACATCTGGAATATTGTGTCCAGTTCTGGGCCCCTCAGTTCAAGAAGGACAGGAACTGCTTGAAAGAGTCCAGTGCAGAGCCACAAAGATGCTGGAGGGAGTGGAGCATCTCCCTTATGAGGAGCAGCTGAGGGAGCTGGGTCTCTTTAGCTTGGAGCAGAGGAGACTGAGGGGAGACCTCATTAATGTTTATAAATATTTAAAGGGTGAGTGTCAGGAGGAAGAAGCCAGGCTCTTCTCTCTGATGTCCAATGACAGGACAAGGAGCAATGGGTGCAAGCTGGAGCATAGGAGGTTCAAGCTGAACACAAGGAAAAACTTTTTTACTGTGAGGGTGCCAGAGCCCTGGCCCAGGCTGCCCAGAGAGGTTGTGGAGTCTCCTTCTCTGCAGACATTCAAAACCCGCCTGGACACGTTCCTGTGTGACCTGGTCTGGTGATCCTGCTCTGGCAGGGGGGTTGGACTGGATGATCTTTCGAGGTCCCTTCCAACTTCTAACATTCTGTGATTCTGTAAGTAATACAGTAATTTCCATGTTCTTATTTCTGGTAGGTTTGGAAAGATGCAGCCACCCAGATATTCTACTCCCTGTCTGTGGCATGGGGTGGGCTTGTTGCTTTGTCTTCGTACAATAAGTTCCACAACAACTGCTACTCAGATGCTATTTTAGTTTGTGTAACCAACTGTGCCACCAGTGTATTTGCTGGGTTTGCGATATTCTCCATCTTGGGACATATGGCATTCGTGTCAGAGAGACCCGTCTCGGAGGTCGTGGACTCAGGTAGGCTGATTGTCACGTTGTCGGTATCGGGACTTACTTTGACCAAGGCATGACGATAACCTGCTTCATTCCACTGCTTTCCAGGATTTGATCTGGCATTTGTAGCCTACCCAGAGGCTCTCTCCAAGTTACCAGTTTCTCCTCTGTGGTCCTTCTTGTTTTTCTTCATGCTCCTGCTCTTGGGCCTCGACTCTCAGTTTGCCACCATAGGTGAGTGTGATTTTAAGTAAGCTGTGGCTTTTCAAATGACTATTACCATTAATTGTGCTGCTCAAAACCTGCACTTCTTCCTTTGCAGAAACACTTACAACCACCATACAAGATATATATCCGGAAGTGATGAAAAAGTTAAGAATCCCTGTGACCCTGGGTGTGTGCATATTGCTTTTCCTTCTCGGTCTTATCTGTGTCACTCAGGTAAGATGTTAAATTATTTTTTGGCTGGGGGTTTAGTTATGCCACAAGTGATAAACTTAAGTTAAAATATCCTTTCCAGCTGTTTGCATGGATGGATATGAGAGACTCTTGAATTCTTCCAATGTGTCTGGGCATGCAAATAAAAAATTCCCAGAGGGAAGCTTGAAGAACCTAAGGTTTTCTCTGATTATTAAACTGAGATGTGGCTTTGAATAGAAGGCCTATACAGAGCCTGTGAACCATCAACCTGTACACTGTATGGTTACTTCCCCTGAAAATAAATGTATGTACACATATACAGACACACACACACAAGGAATTTTCAGTACACTGTGAACAGTTTCTTGAGGCAATTGCTTTCAAGGATATAAAAGTTTGTTGCAATGACTCCATCTAGAAATGCAGATTTATGGATGTAATTAGACTGAGAATGTGAAAAAGATAATTGTGAATAGATGGACAGTCAAGCAAAGTACATAAGTTAGGAAATAGGATGGCAGGGAAGCTTGTGAAGTACTATACAAGAGTGTGAAATGGTTTAAAGCCCGTTTCCTGCTCTGCGATCCTGCTGTTGCATTCTGGTGTTTAAAGCTGTGTTTAGCCCACATGGAAGACTTGTGCATGTAGAAGCATGACAAGCCTACCTGAACGGATAACTGTTGTGTATAGCTGTTGCTGTGGCTCAGTATTATATCTTCAGCATCAGCTTTAATACTGTAAGTTCCAAATTTACGTCCCGTTCTCAGCTCTCTCTGTGTATATGTACTTACCTCTTGTTATTAACATACAGATCTCTATAGTATTTAATCAGATGTGCTTTTCAATCTGACAGGGATATTTAAACAAAATAATGTTCGCAAATGAGTACTTGACCTAGAGAAGTGGGAATTTAAAAAACTCAGGCTGGTGATTAGTTAAACTGGCTTGAACAATGCAACTATTTTATTTGCATAAAGACATTACTGGGACTGGGTACCTTTTTACTTCTTTATTGTTTGTTCTACAGGCAGGAATTTACTGGGTTAACCTAATAGATCACTTTTGTGCTGGATGGGGAATCCTTATTGCAGCTGTCCTGGAGATAATAGGCATCATCTACATTTACGGCAAGTTATTTGCATTGACTATGCAATCCCAGACACAGAGTATATTAAACATTGTGGTAATTATACTGCAATAAAGCATTTATAACTTAACTGGCTGAAAAGCTTTAACTGTTACCACACAACTGGAGAAACTGTCCTTGACCATCGCCTTTCCTCTATCCCTTTTGAGTAACAACACCTGCAAGGGAGGCGCCTGCTTTACAATGCACCCTCTGATTGTCTTTCAACAGGAGGAAACCGGTTCATTGAAGACATTGAAATGATGATTGGAAAGAAAAGCCGTTTATTCTGGCTGTGGTGGAGAATGTGCTGGTTTTTCATTACTCCTCTGCTGTTAATGGTGAGTGTAGATGACTGGAATTGTGTTAGTGTGACAGAACTTATTAATTTGATATCCAAGAGGCTTCCACATGAAGGTTCAGGGCTGAATGCCCAGGCCCTGTATATAAAGACAGGGTATGGCTGTGCCAGTGAAGCAAACTGTGTGCTTTCTGATCTGTACTGCTTCTCCTTGCGTCCTCTCCAGTAGAGGCTGGATCTTCAGATCAGCTGCTAGTAAGCTGCATCTACACTCCGAGGAGTAACACAGAGCAACCAGATTGTCCATTTTAGCAGCTCGATTATCTTCATTTCAGACTGAGAAAATGTTTTGAAAACCTAGAATTTTCCCCTTTGAGTGAAATCTCATTCCTGGGACAATTCCCTGGCTTGGGTTTCCTCTTTGGATGTTCAGCTCTTCCCCTGTCTAACTGAGACTTTTTTAATGTGTATCTCAGTTTTTCTTTACTCCTGAACTTCTAATTGTGAGTGTAGATGGTTGGATTATGTTACTATGAGAGAGTTCATTAAGATCCCAAATCTGGGAGCAGTGGCAAGTCACTCTGGCCACCACATTTATCTTTCCGGACTGCAGTTTAGAAAATGCTGCTCCTAAAATATCTTATGTCTGCAGCAATATTTGCCAATGTTTAATCTTAGATTCTTTCCCATATCCCTGTAAATAACAGAATGTAGGAACATATAAAACATACAGAGAAAGGTGCTGGGCTCATCTAGCAACATATCTATTCTTCAACATAAAACTTCAACAGAACCCAGAGATCAAATTTTGTTTAAACATAGATGTACTCAAGCGTTAGGGTGCACATCAGTGTCGCCTTTCAGTCCTGTCCTCCAGCCTTGCTGCTTGGACAGGACTGAACACCAAATCCTACACAACCATTTTTGAACTCAGAAAGCGAGAGAGAGCTGTGCAGAATTTGGAGATAGGCCTTTTTTAGCCAACTTGGAAATACGGTGCAAGTTCAAGTTAGCTGGAAATATGCTTTTCTCTCTTAATCTTTTTGCCATTTTTGTAGGCGATTTTGGTCTGGTCTTTGGTCACGTTTTCACCTCCCACTTATGGCTCAGTGCCGTATCCAGCCTGGGGAACCGGTGTTGGCTGGTGCATGATTATCTTCTGCGTCATCTGGATTCCTGTCATTGCTATTTTTAAAATAGTTAAAGCTGAAGGTAACCTTTGTCAGGTAAGGGCGCAAAAAAGCTGTCACAGCCTCAAACCTTGCTTTCCTTGGCATTGTCAGGA